TTTGAGTGTTATCGCTGGTGAGTGGGCACGACCCATTACTGCATCAAAACTGAATTGTCATTGAAAGTGGTGGGTGAAACCATTTATTGTTTTGTTCTATGGATAAGTGATTGGGTTTTGTGTTTTGTTTGTGCTCACTAACAAGTTTCCCAGACCCTCGTCCTACAACCCTAAATAACCCAACCCGGTCCCAAACATGGGATTATTCCCTTGAAGTCAGTGGTCATCATATTGGCGTTAGTCTTTAAAGTATGCACATATGCTGTCTCCATGAAATTAATTGTGGTATATATTAAAAATCCCTGCATTTCGTGTACCTTAGTCTATATTTTCTTTCAGTCTGATTGTGGATAAACTACTGGTGGGGAAGAACCAAAATAAACAATTATCTTTTTACGCTTTTTGTCCTTTCTGTCCTGCAGAAAAGAATCATGTTTACGTGGCATCTTGAAGAGCTGTATGTCTATCACAACTTAACGCAGGAATATGCACATACATGAGGGTTGGGTTGGTTGTAGCTAATCTGTATTATGTGGAAATTATGTCAATTGTTCTGTGAGTATCTCAGATGTTCCCTTAAATGTACTCGAGGAACAGACAGAATACAGATTTATTTCATACAGTAGTTTATAGGTCAACTTCATTCAAGGAGGAGGACATGCAGGGTTGTAGTTTTGTCATGTTACTATGCTTAGTGACTTTCTTAGCTCTGTAAATCAACAAAATTATTCAGGGAAGATTTAAAAAAAAAAGAAGTGTTCTGTTTGGCAACACGAAAATGCTTCATCCACAACTTGCTTCAAGAACGCTGTTATTTTTGTAAAACCTCTAATGAGTGTGTTTTTAGTTGTAGCAGCCAACATGGTGATCCAATGCTGTGATTGTACAACTTTAGTCCACCAGAGAAGTGATGAAATATGCCAGTAAGCCTCAGTAACTGTGGTTCCAGCGACAAGCCATTAATCGGTTAGTAAAAGGGAATTCAGCATTTTATTTTACCAGGTCACCCTGTGACGCACCTGGCATAGACGCAGGATTGTGAGAGGGGACTGAACTGTACTGCCCAGTCTTGCAAGCACGGATAAATACATTTCAATAATCTTCCAAGTTCCAGACTTGAAATCCAGAGATGCTTAAGCCTTCCAAAGTTGTATACTTTCAATTTAACTCGTTGATACACTATGTATATTTGGGATAATATTCCAATAGCTGTATACATTAAGAGCATCTCTAACTCAACAAGTAGATTCAGTGCATACTGTACAAGCTGAGGTCTTTCAAGTGCTTCAAAGAGATCGCAGCCTCACTGGCTCAGCAAAAAACAGTCAGTCTTCTAGGTCAGAAAGAATTAGCTCAGCTGACATAGTTGCACAGTTCTCAAGCCTGCAGTGAATCAGAATTAGTGTTTCTCAGCTAAGTTGTATTGTCCATTGAATTAGAAAAAGAATTGATAAGCTTAAGGGAAGTTTGATTATATCTGCAATCGACTGCTAATGTAAAGAGCCTAGATTTTAGACAGAGGGTGGTAGGAAAAGTGCAGTAGTTCCTAATAACATTAATCAAGTGTCCCTGTAAACTGACAGTGAGCCAGCATGCACAATACCAGGAACCTGAAACTGAAGCAGATAAATGGAATTCAGCCAGATTTCATTTGATTATTTACACCTGTCCTTTTTTCAACTGTGAAATGTCAAAATGTCTTCTGTGAAACATTATTATACACATGAAGATGAAAGGGTATAGATACAGCACTGATAAAACAAAATGTATTGTTGATCCCATTCAGATCTTCGTCAGGGGTCATAATGTTGTCTATTAAAGTAAAGGTAATGTTTGGAGTTCAACTGAAAACATATACCCAAATTTCAAATAGTAATTTTCCCACTTTCAAACAGTCAGTTTCAGTAATGTACTTCCTTCCAATTCAAACCACAAACTTCCAGACTGGTAGTAGCCAAGAGGGGAAAGATCAATATGGGAGATAGTGATGAATGTGGATCCACATTTGTCAAAGTCATATACATTATTTATTTCATACGGAGGATATGATTGGTTTGGGGGTGGCCTCAGAGACAACAAACAGGTTGATTAAACGGTTTTGGGTGTAACCATAGAAAGAGAGAGGAAGAGCACAGAGGGGGGGGGGAACAAACTGAATTGATTAAAAACTTTGCAGTAATAGTGTGTGCGGGGGCTGCCAGCCTTCCTGGTTAAATGTCCTCTTTAATTTCATTATGTTGCACAGAGCGACTGCTCTCAAGTCTGACTCTGTTGTTATTAAATAAACAACTGCATCTTTTTCCTCTGTGCCGAGACTCGCAGGCTGTATGACTCTTTCACCGAGATGTGCCGCAGTCGTGTCCTGTTTCACTCCCATGTCGCCTGTCTCGAAAGATGTATGACGCCTCATACTGAGGGAAATGAGGCTGTGCAGATGGGTTCACACGAGCACCGCAAACACCTGAGAAAACAGATACAACAGCCTGTTCATTTTTTTTGTTGATCCCACAGAATATCTCATAAATCACTTACTGGTGCAGCTGTCAGCAGAAACCGCTGAGAACGCTGAGATCAATATGCAGACATATCCATAAAATCCTCCCTAAGTAACCGTTCTCTCTCGCTGCATGATCCAAGAATTCAGTGTTCAGAGTAGCATGTCTGGTTGTTTTTCTCTGAATACATGCAGATTTAGCAACACCGGTAGTCGTTAAGTACATTTTCCAAATTCCTGTCTAAGTGTGCTGAACCACTATTTCTCTCCCATTGGTTGCAAGCCTCCTCTCTGCCAATGAATCAGCGATGCACCGAACACGCACGATACACCTAACAGCCTCTGAAGGCCATCACTGTGATGAGAATTGACAGACGTACACAGATAATCCAGCCGGTGCAGAAGGTCAAACTAATTTATTTGATGTAGTCGTTTCGGTCCGTATTTCTGAGGATCAATGGGCTGTGGTTTGGATGTGATTAGAATGATGAAACTGCCAGTAAAAAGAGGTTTGCAGGCTGATGTGCAGTGAGTGATGCAGTCATACACAGATGTTTCACTCAATATTTTTCAAACGCCGGCATGGGTTATGGGAAGTCATCCCAATAATGGGCAGTCATCCCAAATATTTAGATAGGGTTCTGCATCAGAGCTTATTATTTTGGATATTTTGCTCTGGACTTCACTGGTTTCTGGTGTTACACAGCATATTGCTCTTGCATATTTCAGTGGAGTGAACAGCGAATGGAGCTGGGAGTGTGTCATCGACTCATCTCATTGGCAGGCACCACTGCCATATTACCTCCAGATCCTGTGGTAGCCCACATAACCAATGTTGTCGGATCCAGATTGTCTTCGGCCAGGCTGCAGTGCTGCAAGCCAGCTGGAGACTGCGGGGCCCTCAGGGAAATCAGTGCCAGAATGCTTGGAGACGGGTGAAATTGGCCTGCTGATTAGTCAGAGGGAGGACTGTGTGGTGGACTACACATGAAAAGAAAAAGAGGGAGACATATATAGCAGGCAGTCTGTTGACTGTGCAGGTCTCTGTGACTCTCCCATGCTTACTAATTTGTTATGTTTACACTTTGACTATAGGATGTGTCATCTGATGTAGATTTCCAATGGCTAGTAAGTGGATCTCTGAGATTGTTTTGTCAGATTGCTATGTCAAAGGTCAAGAATGAACATTCATGCTTAACTGTTTTTAAGCCCAAAAAGTGCTATGGATGGATTCATAACTTGAATTGAATCTGAATGTCAACAGATCAGTTTCCATGACAACTGAACCGAAATCATCCACAGATGAAGACTGTGTGATAACTTTTAATTGTAACTTTTATGTTTGTACACCAGCCTCCACTCATAACAATCAGAGTTATTGACAATAACATGCACTTGTATCTGTGTAAAACTTTATTCTAGTGCGTTATAAACTATTAATTACATGTTTATATAAATGCATAATCATAAATGCTAAATGAGAAGTGCTGGTTAAAGTAAAGTGTTATCATTATTAGAATAATTATTGCTGTATTTTGAGTAATAATTTGCATTTAATATGGTTTTCCCACAAAAATCTATGAATCAACTTGTTGAAAATTCTTGAAAACACTGAAGTTGTTCCGATACCAGTATTGGAAAATTCCTGTCCATTCTCAGTGTATGTGTAGTGCAGGCTTCACACTTGTCTGGGTTGCACATTGGACCACGACTGACTTCCAAACTAGTTGTGATGTTACAAAAAAATACTCAGTGGAACTTTTCCCTTCAGTAGATGAATGTGAAAACAGCCTCCTAGCATCAAGCTGCACAGTGAAGGTCAAACATCCAAGTGAAGTAACAATCAGAAACATTTTGATGATGGAGGGGGACTTTAACTAGAATGCTAACTAATGTAGAATATCAATTAATACCTATCTAACCCATATCAGAGAATCAAAAAAACACTTGCTCTTGAATATTCACTAGATGTCACTGTTATCCCATCCATTCTGAGAGATACTGACTGATCACTGAGAGTGTTCCCCCAAAAAAAAATCCATCAAAATTAAATGCATGCCCATTTCTAAGTCAGTGGCTGGGTTTTAATGAGACTCCAGAAAAACAAGAATTTGGTAGTAGGCTACTGTTATTTTATTCTTCTGTCACTGTTTATTTATTCAAGTGTGCACATTGATAAAAAAAAAAGTACGAATTAGAATTTGGGACCACAGGTTTGGTTACTGTTCCTATTTATGGTAGGCCATTTTATGAATTATATGAATTTCAAAATAGATAGAAAAATAGAAAGAACAAAAAAATTAGGATCTTTTAATTTGATTCTGGCCTTGTGTATTTATTTTGGGCACCACTAAAACTTCAGACTTCATCACCCAGAGTTTAAACCGACACACTGAAGGCTCCTGCCATCCACACGGCTCTCTCAGGGGGGCAAAGTATTTTGACCTGGATCAGGGCAGAAGGCGCGTCACCGCGGGTGGGCGTGGCTTACCGGCTGAATAACGCTGTATCCTCCGTTACGTTGCAGCAGAGTTACAGTCCGACACCAGAGAGGAGCAAAGGGAGCCGAACAGCTGACTACTTCGCGGAAAATTTAACCGCGGGGGGGGTGGTGGGGATGAAAAACACCGAGATCTTTTTATACTTCTTCATCGCCTCTCACTGCATGTGCAACATCCTCGTCGTCTCGTGGACGTTCCTCATCGGGGAACCCACGGAGGTCACAAACTATGGATTGCTTTATTGAAGTTGGGCCACCTGATCCCGCTTGCGCCAGGACATCCGAGCAAAATTTAGAGTAAGAGAAGTCGTTATGGACAGTTGTGCAAATCGCGCATTTCCTGCTCAGAGAACTGGTGTCAAAAGCACCGTTTCCATCTCAGGATACCAAATCTGTTTGTGCGTAAAGGACGTGGACAGAACGGTTTCATCCAGCGCTGCCTGAAAACACCCTCCGCGCTATGTTTTAGTCATTATGGGGGGAAGCTGTAGTTAGAATAGGGGGTGTGTTTGTGTGACTGTTTTGTTTGCTGCCTGGCTTTTGATGCGAGAGTGGCGGCCAGCCCTTTATTGCGCGCATACCAATCGTGCGCTGCAGTTGAGCCGCTCCGTTACCACCGGCGATCCACCGCAGCAGGACCTGCAGTCTTTAAACGGGCAACAGGCCTCACCAACCACTCTGCAAGGGTTTCACCGACATATCCTGTTATTTGAACTTTCACTACATCCAAGAGAGTTGTTTTTTTTTTTTTTTTTAAAGCTGCAGCCAAGTGCACCTGTTAGGAAGGAGTAAGCCATGGCTTTACCCGATAGTGGCATATCTGGGGAAGAGGTACCCTTCCCAGAGATTATAGAGCTCAATGTTGGTGGGCAGGTATACATAACCCGCTTTTCTACCCTCACAAGTGTGCCAGACTCCCTGCTGTGGGAGATGTTCAGTCGAAAGTCAGCCAAAGGACTGGCCAGGGACACCAAGGGTCGCTTCTTCGTGGATCGGGATGGCTTCCTGTTCCGTTACATCCTGGACTACATGCGGGACCAGCAGCTGGTTCTTCCAGACCACTTCCCGGAGCGCGGGCGTCTGCAGAGGGAGGCTGAGTTCTTCAACCTGCCGGAGCTTGTCAAGCTACTGGCGCCCAAAATCAGCAAGCAGAACTCGCTTGGCGACGAGGGATGTCAGAGCGACCCAGAGGACTCCTCGCCTGGGATTGACTCGGCCCGTAACCTCAGCTCCCTGGGTGCCGCTGCCGCCGCCTGTGCCAGCCTGGTGCCCGGCGCCATGGATGGCAAACGGTCCGGGTTCATCACCATTGGCTACCGAGGCTCATACACCCTGGGCCGTGACAGTCACACCGATGCCAAATTCCGCCGGGTGGCACGGATCATGGTGTGTGGGAAGACCTCTCTGGCCAAAGAGGTGTTTGGGGAGACGCTGAACGAGAGCCGTGACCCCGACCGCCCACCTGAGCGCTACACATCCCGCTACTATCTCAAGTTCACCTTTCTGGAGCAGGCTTTTGACAAGCTGGCCGATGCAGGCTTCCACATGGTGGCCTGTAATTCCACAGGAACCTGCGCCTTTGCCCATGAGCAGACGGACGACAAGATCTGGACCAGCTACACTGAATATGTGTTCTACCGTGAGTGAGACTATCGGCTTTGTTCCCCCTCGGTCCCCTACCCTGTCTCCAAGTGCCCCCTCCTCCTCCAGCCTCCAGCCATCCTGTCCTACTCTCTCTGATGGCTCCTGCACCAGTAGATGTACCGTAGATGTTGTGCCCTTGCATCTCTCTGCAGCCCCCCCAGCTTTTATCCCATGAACAGCAACTGCTTTGACTCATACCTTCTCTCCAGGTCGAATCTGCAGCCCTCCCCCTCCTTCAACCCCAGATTCATCCCCCCTTTCATCCTCAGGTGCAGCTTTTGCCCTTGCTTAGTTGTAGTCCCCAGTCCTCAACTACAGCAACTCCATAGCCTTTCCTGCAGAGACTGATACCTTCTATGTACTATTTCCCTTTTGTACTCTATATATTATATATCTGCCTTGGTGAAGCACAATACTGTATCCAAGAGCTAATTTTGTTAAATACGCACCCCAGTGTGTCTACATGACTATTGAAACAGTCATAAGGGCATAAGGGAAAGGGCTTCAAAGAGTGACCCTGATGTACACTGCTGTACTTTGCCTGCAGATCGGACTCTCTCCTGCTCCTCTGAACTAAATTACCAAATAATTGGACATTTTATCAGCCTTGAGGGACGTGAGCACAGCACCCCAGCACAAGAAAGAAGTGTAACACAAAACTCAAATTTCCTTCAGTTTTTATTATATGTGTCCAGTACCATGCAATTGGGAACGTGCCATATAGTAGTTTATCTGTTCAGCTTGTGTTATGAATGACTGAGGGTTATCAATAATACACTCACATGGACAGGGGGGAAAAAATGCATTAGACTTTTTTTATTTTGAAAGAGAGAAGTAGATCGTAGGTGTGTGGAGTTTCTTTTTCAAGAAGGCGCTGTCTGTGTGGCAAATGAACAAGCAACAGGCTTTGATAAAAAAAACAGAAACTATGAAAGCTCAAATATCAAGAGAGATCTCGTAGACAGAAAGAAAAAAAAGGTTCTCAGATGAAGTGTGTATTGATTTTGCAAGGGAGCTTTCAGTATTTTAATCACCCACACTGGGAGGGCAGAGGAGATGGAAGGTGTTACATCACTCTCAGCCCACTGCTCATATTTGTTCACTCATTGTGCTTCTTTGACATTTCTTCGCTCAATAAGTCTACATATTTAAGAGCATTTTTACAGTGAAGCGCTTCTTGGGACAGGCTTACACCATGTTGTTTCAGGAAAAAAATAAAAAAGTGGTAGTCACCTTAGCGGATCACGTTTTGAGTGTTCTGTAAACATTAATGTTATTCTTAATACTCAGTCCAGTATTAGTTGAAGCTGTTGCATATTTGATGATAGCTCTCACTTTCTGTAAGTGAATACTCAAAAAAAGGGTTGGGTTACGCCGTAAACAGCCAAAGCCCAATGTTTTCTCAGCACTGTAGCAAGGGCATTGTGAGGGCAGTTTATAGTGAGCAGGTGTAACTTAGGTTATAAAGGAGCGAGTTAAGTAAGAGGGTCATTTCCAGATACAGCCTCAGGACAGGTCTGCACATCATGTATACCTCAGACTATAACTCAAACTGAAGGCACGTAAATCCATCAAAAGCTCCAGCTGATGATGTGAAAATGAAGACACAGTTAGGAAAATATCCCAAATTAGATGCTGTAGGAGGACTGATGAATAGGAGGTTGAATATAAAGTGAATTTTGAGTTGAGAAGCAGCCATCGAGGCAGTATAGTGCAGGATTTCTCCTGAGCTAGAAGGTGTCAGGTTGTAGTTTTGGCAGAACGTCTGACAGTGACAATAAATGTATTCTGAAATGTCTAGAAACCGCATTGTTGTGTTTCAGTGTGATGAAGTGCTGTTGACATCTGAGTCAATATGTTAGACCTGCTGCAGTGTCGCTGCAGGCGTAGACAACACTGAAATTAAAAGTGTTCAGCAAAAAGCAAATTGATTTGTCAAATAAAAAGATGTTTTCTTTCTATTCGGGTTGTATTTTCCATTTATAACACAATGTTTTCTCAGCATTGAATGGCATTCAGCACAAACTATGAGGAAAGTTTACGTTTTTTAATTTTCACTGACAGTACGACTCAATCACAAGTACACCATTTCAAATTTTCATCTCATCACTTCCCATAAAAGGAAATGTCCTTGGACATAAACTCTACTACATATTAAATGTTCAACACTCTATCCTCAGGCACCATCCTCCCTCTTCCTCCCATCTGCCTTTCCACTGTTTCTCCACATCTTTTCCTCTTTTTTTTTTTGTTCAGTTGACCAGAAAACAGAGCCATGATAGAAATGAGGACATGCATAGATAACAGGCTCTGTTAAAGCAGATTACAAAACCCTTATTTTGTTTCCAATAATTGACCTAATTACTACGTATAGTAAAGAAAATCTTAAAATAGATTGGGCCTAAAATGCAGGACTGTGAAATACTGTGAAAATAATACTGTAGTTTTATAGGCTACACAAGATTAGAGATTGTTTTTGACTGCATTTTTATTGAGTACACCCAGAGACAGAAAAGTGTGCATATTTTACATTTGAACAACAACAACGGTCATGTTTATGTGATTAAGGCAGGCACATGTTGTTTTATAAACTCTGATTCATATAAGTTTTTTCGTAAGAGATTATCCCCTGCTAATTACGTTAGTATAAGACCTCTAAACCTGATCTCAGTCTGGCCTAGATAAAAGCATAGCTGATGAGCCTCACAAAAACTGTTGAAAAATTTATGTGGCTCCCTTCCTGGAAAATAGATGATTTTTGTTGCGGTCTGGAATGCATGGCAAATCCGGACAATACCGTGCCTGCAGTGTCTCTTCAGCCCAAACAAACCCAGTCACAGACAGCATTCCTCTGTCACTGTCCTCCGGCACACTACTGCAACACTGGAGCGCCAAGGTCAGTCATTAGCACAAGCATGGAGAGACATGCCTCATGTGTGAAATTTCAGGCATCAGTGTCCTAAACTGTTCTCGCTCTTCACGTCCATGAGTTGCCTTGAGACTCAACATTCAACAGTAGACGTGTGAGAAGTGTTGACACTCCGACATTGAACAGCAGCAAGGTCCACATGCTAAGCTGTGATGAAATGCTCCTTGGGTTTTTTGTTTTCTCTATCTATCTTTTTTTTTAATGCTCTGTTGTGAAACTTGTGGCTGAAAAGTGTAGCACGCCTGCTCCTGCACCATATCCAGAAGCAGGTTCTAGTTGTGTCACCATAGTGGTATGCCTGTTCTATCCAGAACGTTACAATAAAGATATTTTACCATGACATTTTTGCTTCTCTGTCTTTTGGAAAAATCCAAAATAGCAGATTGCATTCTTTGCTCATCACAAAGCACACATTCAATTTAATTAAATCATTTATTTAATATTATTCACATTCTTACCACAAGGTTTGATATACAATTTCTCACTGAGCTTTTCTCAATGAGCAATCCGTTATTAAACTCTTATCATGAAGTACAAGGGAAAAAGAAACCATGCAAGCACAAGATTGTTCTCAGTACCTTGAGGCAGTGATTTGACCCATGTCGTCTTCCTGTGGTGCTATTGTTACTGTAGGCAGCTCTACATGGCAATATGCCTTGGCTCAGTCTGCCTTCCTCTCTTAGAATGATCCCCTTGTCTTGTAGCCAGCTGGGTCATCGCTTCCCCCAATTGGAAAAAAGAAAGGAACAGAGCAGAAGGAGAACAGGAGTGGATGTACGTCAAAGGAAAAGAGATTGGAAAATGGGGCAAAGAAGAAGAGAGAAAGTGAGACGAATAACCTGGTGGAAGTGAGACGAGACTGGGGGAGTATTTAAGTGGGAAGGATTTGGTGTTCCGATCTTATCTTTCTGAGCAACTCCAGCATGAAGTGTCCTGTTATTCGGAAGAGGTGCTGGATCACCCTGACAAACAAAGCCCTCACTGGGCCGTGCTGTAATGTGCTCCTCTGTGGCCCATCTGCTCCGTCAACACTCACAGACAGATTCAGTAACACCAGACAGATATAGATCCACAGGATTACTCAGTATGGTTGGGATTAATATTGATTCATAGTATATGATTACATCAAAAGAAAGTGGGAAAATTGATATTTTCCAACAAAACATAATTGTATTTTCTGTCTCATCATGTGAATCATGAGCCGTGCCTGTAACTATAACCAGCCCTGGTTCCCAGACTGCATACTCTATTATGAATAGACATACCACATGCGTTAGAGTGACAACACAGAGCACTACAATGAGTCATTTTCTCTACATCTTAGACTGTGTAGACTAGTGTACTATCAGATGTTGTCTGCGCGCTGCTGTTTCTGTTCATTCAGCTGCAACCATCTGTGGCTCTGTGCTTGTTTATGTCTTCACAGCCTTAATGCCTTGTCTACTTTTGGATCGGCATGCCGGGATATTCTGACTCTGTTTCGTCCTCATGTTTGTGCTTACGAGGAGTTTTAGAGGGCAGGTTGGATAAGTTTTTGGGCCTGTGCGTCGGGTGTGTCAGCGCTGGTTTGGTATGGGGGGCCACGTGGGGGCAATGAACTAGGTGCACTCCCTCGCTCACAAATATGCTGAGCCGGCAGTTGGCATCTCTGAACGCAAACACAGACCACACACATGCACAGAGGGAGAGAAGTTGCTAGGAGAAGATGTGCAACAACCCTCCTGTGCAACGCTAATGAGTCAGAGCTGTGAGGTTTTACATCTAATTGGTCGCCTTCGTTTCACTCTTCTTTGCGATCAGTTAAAAATGCATTAGCAGACAAACAAGCCATTTGCCTCCCTCATCCTCTCTTGACAGCAATAACACGAGAAGTCCATGCTAATATAGAAAAGCATCATTGCCACTAATTACCTTAGAGTAACGTCGGCCAATAGGAGGATGTAGTGCAGAACCTGAGAACTGAAGCCTGAGGCCTACGACTGCTTTCTCCACCAATATGTGATGTCTGTGAAGGGAGGGTGTGCATGCTATATGTGAACGTCAGCCCAGCGTGTTACATGCTTTGGTTCATTTGCACATGTATATGTATGTGAGCTGAAAAACCTGCTGTGTTTGTATTTGTCCTTGACGTCAAACACGCTTCGCCCACACTGCCATCTAAGCCCATATGCAAGTACAGTAGCACTGGCTCAGGGCATCTTTATCTCATTGTGTGTCGGGTTATTTATAGTGTGCCAGGCATTGAGTCAGATGTGTACCGCCACTGCTCCTCGAGCATGGGTACATATGCTCCTGCTGCCCCTCCTCCTCCTCCTTCTCCCCCTCTTCCTCCACTTTACACACATCTCTTGCAGAGAGCAGCTATCACTAAGCATATTGGCTTCCCAAACACCTGGGGGACTCCATCACGCAAGGTCAGGGGGGTAGTCATACCCATGGGCAGGGAGGCAGAGAAGACAGTTAACATGGGATGTGGTCTAGCAGCTGAAAAAGAGCAGATTAGGTCACTCCCCAAGTACAGTACGGTGTCTTCTCATCCCTCTCGCTCCATGTTGTCTCTTTATTATTCTCTTTGACTGTGCAATCTTTTCTTCTCTCTTTTAAGCTCCAAGACACAGAAAGACTAAAGTAAAAGCTGGACAGGAATGAGGGAGCATGACATTTGTTATAAAGGAAGTGAGTCAGAGTGTCAGAGGAAAGTTGTAGGATTAAAAAGGAAAGGAACAAATAGGATAACTCAAGTGGCAAAGTCCTTCATATATACTGCCATAGGGACTGTAAATATGTGAAGAGCATCTGGAGTGGGACAGAAATAGTTAAAAAGGAAAAAAGAAACATCAGATTGGCACAGCAAGTTGGAAGTTGTGACAATAACTGACTGAGGAAACCGTTGCAAGACAGTTGAACATCCCCTGCTTGACTCAGCTGCAACTGGCATTTTAAACATGTAAATTGTTTCATTACAAATGCAACATAAAACTATGTACTGATGCCATTGATTAAAGGGCCTCCTGGACACTAGCCCAGGACCCCATCAGGCTGGGGGGGACGGGGGAGGGCACAGCCTCTATAGAAGTGACTGTTATTAACATTTCTCATTAAAATTCAAAGAGCTCAGTTTAGAGTAAGAACATACTAATGATGTTATTTTTTGCTCCTGACTGCTGCTCATACGGTCTGATGCAATATGTATTTTTTATGCTTTTTGCCTAGACTAAACATTTGCACAGTACAGAAAGACAACAACATTTCTTTACTAAAAAGTCACAAAATAATGCGCAAAAAAAATTCAGTTTCTTAAATAATAACTTCAATCCTGGTTTGTTTTTATGCTGTTGTTTGAAGGGTTATCTTTTACTCCCTCACTTTTTAAAAAACAATTTATATTATGAAACATAATTTTATGTTGTTTTTAATCTATGGTTTTATTTAATACTTATATGTTTTGGTAATTAGAGTTGGTTGACTAGCATGGGAACAATAATTATAAAGTTTATTTCTTTGCAAATGAATGTCTCAAGATGGCAATTACTTAAATCTGATGAGTTTTAATTACACGCTATCAATCACTGACAGAGGGGAAAGGGTCATATATTTTTAATAAATACAATTTTAAAATGCAAAGCATCCCCTTATGTATTTTATTCTATAATTACTTAGACTAATGTGGTAATACATGCACAGTACATCAGCTTTGTGAAAACAGTGTGAAAGTAAAGTGAGGAGTCACTACGTCTCCGCTGATCTAATGTTTCTTGCTTTAAGCAGTGAGTTGTAAATGTGTCACTGCTGTTGTTAGGATAGGATTCACCTGGGCCATCTGGAGACTTGGGCTTTAATCTGTCCCCCTAATTATCAGTAATCTAAACAGTCAGCATGTCCTTGTGCTGTCGTCCTAGGCAGAGCTGACACTGGGCAGGAGAGGACAAGCAGGTGGCAGGGGGGCTGCAGGCTATGGGGGTGCCAGGGTGGGCTTTGGGTGCTTAGGCAGACTGGCTTTTACTGGCTGTAAACGCCAGGCAGCAGCTCAGGGTGTTTAAAGCAGAGGGAGATAAACAGGAGGCACATGGAGCAGGTGAATCAGTAGGACACTTGGATCGGACATAGATTTGTGCAAGTCTGCAAAAATAAAATATACATATTGCATAAAATATCATATAAAAGTCTTTTCCTCATCCAAATGAATTGAAAAACCTTATCTGCTAGTTAGTTACTGATGACTGGCTCACAGGTTTCTTTTAAACACCTCCTCTTTCCGCATTTCTTTCTAATAATCTCTGCTCCCTTTTTTGCTTTTCTTAACTTGGCAGCAGCTCCCTGTCTCCAGCTGTTTACGTCACACATTTCCTCTACATTATGTAGATTGACAGATTTGTAATTGCTCAGAGACTTGTGAGTACACTCCAGTGATTTTCTATCTGGGCATCTGTGCTTATGCCCGGGCATGTAAAGTTAGTCTGAAGAATATAGCATTAACATGTCTGATTACGCCTCTGTATGTATTTGCTCTGACAGCAATCAGAGAGAAAAGACAATGAATGAAAAGACTGTAGGTGGTGAGGCCCACTCTGTCACTAAGCACCATACTGATCATTTCACAAAGCAGATGTTGGATATCTGTGCTGAATGCTGGGTAATTAGATATAAAACACGCTGTAATTGCCAAAACTATGTAGCGTGAGCTCCCTTTAGAACAGCGGGATAGAGCCATATGCACAACTTCACACTCTGGATAAAAGGCTTCTATCTGTCTCATACACATTACTATGCATTTGTGTAGCTCTGGCTCCTGCACATCATTGTGGCGTTACCATGGAGATGATGCTGTCCTCTTGTTTGCCGGTCTCTCCAATCTCGGGTCGCAACACCTGTCAGCAGCCACAGTGAATTTTAAAAGGTACCCACAGATCGACCTGGTCACATTTAAGGTAATTCAGCCAATGTTTGTGTAAGCAAACGTAGACCATAATGATACTGCAGTTATTTTAAAGCTCCCTTTTTCAACAAGCCCACATAGCTTTGGTTTTTATCTTTTAGCAATTTGGTGTCTAGAATTTAGTGACATCTAGTGGTAAAGTTGCAGATTGCAACCATTCAAATACAACCCAGCATTCCAAGCCTGTAGGAGAAACTAAGATGGACAAAAAACGTGAAAGGTCCTCAATAGACCCAGTGTTTGGTTTGCCCATTATAGGCTACTGTAGAAACATGCCGGTTCAACATGTCGGACTCCGTAGAAGAGGACCCGCTCCCTCTGTAGATTAAAAAAACATCGCATTCTAAGGTAACGAAAACAAACAACAAATTTTCAGGTGATTATACACTAATAAAAACATACCTATGAATATTATATTCTATTTCTGCAACACTGAACATTTTAAGGGGCCATCTTGCTGTAAACAAATTCTGTATTTCTGGAAATACACTTATTACAACGACTGGAAACGGGGGTGGGGGGAAACAGCTGGCCTGGTTCTGTGATAACAGTTGCCAGGAAATCAGTGAAGATTCTGGTCTTAGCCAAGAAATTGTCTGGCACATAACTCCTTGTAATTTGTACTGTACTGTAATAAATGATAAATACAATTTTTTGTAGAAAGTGAACAAACAGAATATGACATATTAAATAGTGAGCTTGAGTTACTGGTATGAAAATCTTTGGATAGAGCCAATTTCAGGTCTTTATGTAAAGCTAAACTAACTAGCGGTAGCTTTACATTTACCACACAAACATGAGCATGGTATGAATCTTCTTATTTAACTCACAGCAAGAAAGCGAATAACATACTTCTCAGTCAGTCACCAGGAGGCGATTCAGACGTTTGTGCTTCACTATTGGGGAGTCATTACGTCGATCTTACTACCTGATGATGGTCGTGACAAAAAATACATTTTAATTTCACTTCGACTTTAATATGAAAACGACTCCTGTATGTTTACATTAGGTTTGGATGATAATACCATGAGAACTTAACACAAATAATGTCTTCTTTTAATCGGTGTGTAGGAGTACACAAGTGTGCTATGATTCAATGAAATGAAGATTCAGGTGGGGTGGAAAAACATTACACACCATAGAGAAGACATTTTGTGACAGAGAGGTGCTAAACCCTGGCAACAGTGACACACTAGAGTTGCTAATAGCTGTAATGATGGCAACAGAGGGATGTGTCACACTGAGCAGATGGGAAAGAGAGAGGCAGCATAGAGGAGAGGATGTGTGAGAAAGTGCTTTGGCTTTTGCATATATCCCTGGAGAAGTGGCCTGGGGAAAAGGGTTGAGTGCTCTCTTTCGCTGTTCTCCTCCATAAGGCTTAGTGGTGGAGGAAAGCATGGAGCCCATCCCCCAGTGGATTATTCCTCCGACGCTGCTAAGCCCCCATACTCCCACGTCCAAGCGGCCCTCAAACACATGTATTCATTATGAGAGACACTGAATGCACCGAACACACAAACACAGTGGAAAACATGTTTCTGCCAACCCCTCCTTCCCCTACATCTTCTTTCTTTCTCTCTGCTTTTATCTGTCCTTCTTTCAAATGCCAGTGCATGCCCAGAATATAACGACACACATGCCCACACACACGGAAACACCCACACCTACTCATACTGTACACACACTCACTCACACACACACACACACACACGCATGCTTACAGTACGCATGCATGCACAAATACACAAGACAACACTTACTTGCTCTCACACACAAGCACTTTTTGTCAAACGTTCCCACACACACACACGCACAAACACACACATTCAGGTATTCAGAAAGCCAAGGCAGCGGGAGAATATTCTGTGCCGCCTCCGTTTGAGACAAGCAGCTTTTCCAGTTATATAAGATGGGTTACCGTGACGATGAGCCCTGTTGAAGGAAGGAGTGCAAGGCCTTGTGTGTCTTTGTATGTCTGCACACGTGTGTGTTTGGGTTGTGTGTGTGACTGCTGCCATAAGCGTGGCATATTGTACCTGCATATCTCTGCATGAGCACGCATGAGGAGAGGCTGCGAGAGAGATTCTGCTCATATGTATTTTCTTATACAGAAGCAGCATGCGAGTGTGTGTGATTTAAAATTGTATGACTGTGACTCTAATGGATGATGTAGTCCACAAGCAGTGTGCATGGAGGACTCTTATTGTCATTTTACATGGTATAAAGCAATATCCACGATGAATTTGAAAATGTTTATGTAGTGGAGGTTTTTTTTGTCCACAGAGAATTTTCTGATTGTTTTCTGAAAGTTCAGCGTCCAAATTGAAATACCACAACAACAACAAAAGGCTCAGATCTCTTCTGCTGGCCATTTTCATTCGTAAAGCTTTGTACTGTTTCCCCCTTAGGCTTTTTATTGTTTACAGAGTAGGCATGAAGAACAAAGCATGTCAAATTCTCCAAAATGGATCACATGACAAGAAAGCCTGAGAATGCATAACAATCATATGTTACAGTAAAGCTCTAGCCTTATGACAAAAATGGGGCAATTTCAAATGTTACCAAAGTGTGGTGTGTTCTCTGTGGTAAAAATCCAGGATTAGTGGGAAATGGAAGCCCTCCTCCACCCCCCCAAAATAAGATGCATTTTGAAATTTATCCGCTTTAGTGTGGACATGGGCAAGTTTGCTATGACTTGCTTTTCCAATCTAAGGCTGTGTACCATCATGTGACTGTAAAAATCAAAGGAAAGTGAAAGGCTTATTACTTGCTCACTGCTTTCTAAAATATAGGCTGTATGTTCAGAGAGGAGGCAATTCAAAATGGTTGATGGGCTTTCAAATAGAACAGAATGTACATGTGCTACTTCAACTATTCTGAGAAGTGGCAGTGCAGCAACCTCCTCTGTCCTCACACAGAGATGAGATGAAAAATCAACATACCGTGAAAAATGGCTTGTCAATCTTCAGTCAGGAGGTTTCACACCATCCGTTCAATCAAAGTATTCCTTGTAGGATAATGTACATACAAAAATTATAGTAATTCTGAAATTAATTGAAACTGTCCTCCAGTCTCCTTATCTCTCATTTCCTTTCCTTTCCTGCTGAGCTCCTTTCTTTGCTAATTCCTGTTTCCATAATGCTCCTACAGCCTCTTGTGCCAGCATGTGTGTACTTTTGTACTTTTGGAGACAAAAACTGTAAAGCTCAAAGCTGAGGTGCTTGTTTCTGTGCCAGCCACACACTACTGACACACTTTGATAAGGCATACAAAAAAAGCGAAATGTAATTAAATTTGTGTGCAAAGCAGCGCAGACACCTGTGTAAGAATATTGGCTGCTCTCAATTTTTAAAGGAATAGTCTGACATTTTGGAAAATACATTTATTGGCTTTCATGCCAAGAGTTACATGAGAACATTGATACCACTCTCACATATAAAGTGATAACTAGCAGCTGTTAACTTAGCTTAGCACAAAGACTGGAAATAGATTGGAGAAGTTGGAGAGCGATATCACTCTGAAGTCTGTTCAGTAAATATGTAGCTGGAGCCAGGAGGTAATTAGATTAGCATAGCGAGTGGAAACAAGGTTAAACAGCCAGTCTGACTCTGTCCAAAGAGTAAAAATATGCCTAGTACTAATCACTCATTAACACATTATATCTTAATCTGTACGCAATCAGGAAGATAAAAACGACACTGGCTCTAGATAGGGCTGTTTGCATTTTTCGCAGTCATCATGATTTCTCCTTCATGCTGGGAAAGTGAGGGTGAAGCGAGGGAGTTGCAATTTGCAACGTGGCTGTTGAATGAGAAAATAATTCCATACTAAGCCTTGGACAGACCCAGGCTTGCTGTTTCCCCCTCTTTCCAGTCTTTATGCTAAGCTAATTGCATGTTGGCTCTAGCTTCATATTTACAGTTCAGATGAGAGTGGTATTGATCTACCCATGAATGAAGAAAGAGCACATTTCCCAAAATGATGAAGAAAATCTTTGAATAAGTGTAACTATGTTGTAATGCTTAAAAGTTAACTCACTTAAATTTGTAATTATTTCTCTCTGCTGTAGGTGGTTCATCAATGATTTCCAAGGCAACGATTGAAGTGCTGACCTCTCAACCTGCTACTGCACATGCTGTATCAGCCACAGAGAAGCTCATCAGCACTGGCCAAACCAAAAGTCTTCCAGAAACCAACAGCAACACACAACTAGACATACGAAACCCACTGGCCCTGGACTCTCCTTCTCCTCTGACACCTCCTCTTCCTCCTCCACCTCCTCCTGCTGCAGACAGCCTTGAACTCCCTCCTCTGTCCCCTTCAGTCCTGCCCCCACCCCTGCCAGCCAAACCTTTTTCTACCTCCAGTCCTCCTCTTCCCCCAACACCGCCTCCAGCTGAAAGCCCCCAGCGTCCAACCATGCTCAACCTAAAGACCCTGCCACGACCCACCGTGAAGGAGAATGGTGGCCCCCCACTGGGGGTAGATGAAGAGGAGGAGGAAAAGAAGATGCTGGAGGAGGATCTCAAGAAATGCATTGAGGACTTCAAAAAGATCCGCTTGCCCAGAGAATTTCCAGATCGCAAAAGGCACTGGCAAAGTGACTTGCTTAAGAAGTACAATGCATAGAGTGTTTTGCTGTGGCAACACTGTCAACAAATTTGAGGATTTTATAAAAATGGCAAGAACGTGTTGTAAGCAGTTTCATTCACGTTGCTCTGATTCAAGCTGTGTGAAGATTGTCAACAAGTTTACTTAAACCTCTAACATCGTAGCTTTTGCATGTCAGCAGAACTAAACAGTTTGATTAAGTGTAGTATTTAGGCTGAACTCGTCTAGCAATCACACATACACGATTACAACAATGAGGTTTGTCTTTTCCCAGCATAGAAGAAAACATCCCTATAGTGATTGTTAGTGACACTTCTTTTTCCAAAAAAGAGACACAGACATTTGTAATGGAGACATTACAAACTACTTTGAATTATCTTCTCTTCACTCACTCAAAGGATAATATATGTAATGTTGTTAATAAGAGATTGCTGCCCTGTTCTCTGTACTGTGTCCACTGATCAAGCAACTGGAAAAAGTGTAAAACTTTAGGCATTTGACCTTGCTGATGCAAAATAAAAGAAATAAGTGAAATTCTTGGTGCTAATCATCTAAAATATCTCACCTCATCAATATTAACCATATAACTTCAAAGCCTTTCTTCTCCTCTCTGCCTGTGATTCAAAAGCTGTGCAGTTTGGATGGTTTTGTGATTACATTATCTTCAAGCTAGCAATGGAAAGCATTCAGAACGAGTACCGGGAAGCGAAGTGGGTAATTACAGAGGGCCAGAATGTGGAATAATAATGACTACATGAACCAATGCACAGTGCCATTTGTTCCTCTATCTGCTCTGCATAAAATTTTCATCCGGCTTCACTAATGATTTACCAGGTGTGTGTGTATGTGTGTGCATGTATGTGTGTGTGTGTGTGTGTGTGTGTGTGTGTGTGTGTGTGCGTGTGTGTGAGAACCTGTTTCTAGGTCTTAATGTGGAATATATGGCATAAATTACAATGAAATGAAACATTACATTTATTTAATCACCTTGTGGGTTAAATTTCAACATCGAAAATACGCTTACTTGTTTCTTATCAATGCGAGGGTCACCACTGCCCTCACATCTGTGCATAAGTAGGCCTACAGAGTTAGACCAAGGAGGCAGTTAGCTTTGCTTTGCGTAAAAACTGGAAAACAAAGAAAACAAAATGCTCTCCAAAGTTCAAAAATCTTCCTACCAGCACCTCTAAAGCTCACTTGTAACATGTTATATCTCATGCAGTGACCTATGACGTAGCTTCCTCAAAAGTTATCGTTTAAACGTTTCTGTTCTCGCACATGATAATGTTTGGGTTAATTAGTGAGCTTTACACGTGCTGGTAGTATTTTAGGTTTATAGCTAATTTAATCCTGGCTGTAGCACTTCTTCTAAATGGATAGACATGTTAACTCTATCTATCAATCTTCTTATCCATCGTCTAAAAAGTATATTCAGTTACTATTTTCAGTAGTTTCTTCATGGCTTACCAGTAAGTCTACACGTTTCTTTGAGTTTGAACATCAAACTTTTAAGACAAATCAAGATACCAAAGTAGTTTTAAGGTTTTGAAACCTTTTGATCATTTCCCCAGCATCATCAAGATCATCAAATATCTGTTTTCTTGTGATTTCTTTCATGGGTACCTTTGGCTTCAGATGAAGTTTCCAGAGAACAACAAATATCTTCAACCACACTGATAGATAAGCAGAGTGCTGACTTATTGACGGTAGCCCTAAAGATGTTTTGTTGTCTCATTGTCTCAGGCCTTCAGCCTGATGCAATTCAGCTGTGCGTTTGTCCTGGGTTAATTTTGAGGTTAAGACATTAATCCTCAAGTGTCAGTTGAGAGGGACGTTTTATCTCATTAAACATCAGACAAATGGAATAGTTTTATCAGGCATTCTGGTAACTGCTAAGGAGCAACAGAGCTATCCTCTTGCCCTGAGTAGAGGATTAACAACAGATTAAGGTTCTAAAGAGCCTCTAAACAGCAGGCAATTCCTCTCCCAGCTACACGACGGCGACAATTTATATCATCCAGTCAGTCTTTGCGGAAACATTTCACACTGACGTAAACACTCCGGCCGTCTCCAACTGGTCACTGATTGCTGAGAAATCCATAGAAAAGATTTTACTTTGCAACTCATTAGAGAGTATTGCCTCATCAGCTCCTTTTCTTGTATTTCTCATCTTTCAGCATTGGCTTGGACAGCGACAGCATGCTGGCCGGGCTCCCAGACTCGGAGGAGTGTCATCAGAGCACGCCTGAGTCAGGATGCATGCAGAGGATTGAAACAACAAGTCTTCCCGATTTAAAATCCCTGTTTACTGTGGCAGAAGCTGCACAGTCTGCTGTGTTGGAGTCCTGTTAGACAAAACAGACATTCCTTTCCAAAACCAGAAGTCCTTGATTTGCATGTGGACCTCTCCGTTGGAATCTGTTCACTTCTCAATTCTCTTTCACCCTTTGTTTTTTTTTCGGTATAACCCTCTGAAGCTGGCCTTTGGACTTATTATGGATGCACTATGAGGATTTGATCTCTGAAGTTGATAGGCTCAGCCCTTCAACAAAGGGAATACTTATCCTTTGAAATGAAGAGGTAAAGCAGTCTGGTGGGAACAGGTCTGATAGAAAAACATTATTTGACAGAATATTTAAGCATGAGAGATCAAACCAACGAATTTTAGCAGTGGTGATTATCCCTGGACAGAGGTAGAACTAAACATGGGGTCTGTCTTTAAAGTCACTTCCTAAAGTTTTTACTGGATTGGCACCCGGGGCACTGAGGATGGCACAGCTATATTAGCCCTTCTCCTATGATTTTGTGACGACAAGTGCAGGATCCAAAGCCCAGACTGAATCATTTTTGGCATCCAAATTTTAATGTCACCCATTAAAACTGCAGCTGATTAAATACATAATGTGATATGTATTCTTAATACGATAGAGTGATAAAAGAGGAGGACTGACGGCGCAATCCCTCATTTGTTTTCAGGTAATGCCATATTGACCACAGTAGCCTTCAGCAAGAACGGGATGTCAGAGAGAAGTTGCCACAAACATCCTGGGCACAGTATTCCATCTTATTTCCCCAAATGTATCAGTTTTTGCCTTTTTGCTGACACACGGGGCGCCTTGCATTTGCATGAAAGAGCACCTTGCAGATTTATTTCGAATGGCCAGCAATACATTAGCATCTCATTTCTTCGGGGCATGAGTTATCTTCAGTACAGTCGGGCCTCCTGACAATTAAAGCTCAGCTGAAAGTGATCTTTGTAAAATACTGTGCCGCAGTGAGGGTCTTGGGATATTTTAGTATTTCAGCAGTCAGGAAGAGTTTCACGCTTAAAGATAAACTTTGTGTGCAAGCAGTATGCATGTGCTAATGAAATGTGGCTTTAGGGAAAACTGAGGCCTAATTATTACGCCTGAAATGGGAATGCAGAGCTGGCAGTTAAGCTGTCTAATAACACACTCTTAGGTTCATACTAGTGTAAAAATTTAGCAGCCTGCAGTTTTCTCATTATAGAGTAAGTGGTCCTAATCAACTCCTTCGTTACAATTATTCTTTGTTATTATTGAAATGATCAAAATGTACGTTCACATGCACAGTAATCATTTTACTACGACCGAATAATGCAGCACTCAACCGCAACTGTTGTTTTCAGGTGAAATCCAAATAAGAAAAACTACCCTGATTCACACAATTTACATATCAGTAACAGAGTCTGATTTGATTCTATTCTATTCTCCTCAAAAGTAATGAATAACCTTTCTTTAATAAAAAGACAAAATAGCATGGCTAAGATTGGATGGAAAATTATTGGGCTGACAGCATAACAGCTTTCCATTCACAGCTAGCAAGGGACATAAATAATGTTAAAGTGTTCTGAAAATTCCTAGAAATAAAAAAAACAACAACAAAGGCTGTCTATTTTTTTTTTGCTTATTTGTGGCACTAATGAGATGTCCCCAGTAAACTACCCCTTTCCAGACATTAACTTGATTTTGTAAACTCTGGATGTCTGATTACTGTAAATCAAGTAAGTAACCAAACTATTGCCTTAATCCTGGTATTTACAGTGTTTGAATGCAAACATGAAATGTCTCTCTCTGTGTGTGTGGGCCCCAAATGTGTGTGTGCAAGTGCCTTGGCAAAAGCTATTAAAATGTAACTTGCGCATGCTAAACCAGTCCACATATTATCTGTTAACCAGAGCAGCTGCATTGCTTTAGGAAACACGTGCTTGCACATAAATGTTCTTTAGACAAATACATGCTATTTAATGGAGAGCAGAGCTGGCTCTCCCCGCAGGTCGTCCACGCAATCAGCAGGAGACACATGCTGTGGAAAGAGGCAGTGAAGAGGAGAGGAGGGCCAGAAAGAATGTGTCAGACTCTGTTCACAGCTTTTCCATTTCCATCATTAAAACCTGGGGCCTAATCCTGTAGCTACTTTAATCTCCTAATTCTGCACCCTTTTCTCTCTGCACACTCCTATTCCATTCTCTCTCTCTCTCTCTCTCTCTCTCTCTCTCTCTCTCTCTCTCTCTCTCTCTCTCCCCCTCTCTCCCTGATTTAAAATCGTGCATTTCCATAGATTCAGAATGAAAGCTTTCGGAGCCCCTCCACCAAACACACACACACACACACACACACACACACACACACAGAGAGAGAGAGAGAGATACACACTTCCAGTATTTCAGTAGGGTCACTTTACCTGCTTTTAAATCCTTTACATAAATATACCTCTGTGTGATAAGTGTGTATGGAGAGGGTTTTGATGCTCATTTCTTGCCATCTCTGTGATCCTTGTCAACCCCTGTACATGATTAATGGTATGTAAGAGGATATACAGCCACATCATGGGTAGTGCTGTGTAATGGTAGGCATGTGGAAATGAGCTGTAGCATAAATGGAAACATTAGATGACTTGATTACCAAGCATCACATAAAAGACTGAATCTGTGGGATGGAGCGGCAGATGGCATGATAGTCCAATCCTGTGAGCCAAGTGCCTGGCCTGCTACTTTTCTCGGTGGAAAATCTGACATGGCCTGTCAGAATGTGAGGCACATGGCCTTGTTGCTGTTTTGTGTGGACTGCTGCGTGATTGGAATAGCCTCTCTTCCTTGGATGGGAATTATAACGTACCAAATATAGAAACAAATATCAAACAGGCTAAGCCTCCTGCAGGAGAGTAATGTATTTATAAGAACTTGTAATAATGCTATAACCATGTAGTAGACGTATTAGCCCTCACAGCACATCATTTGAATTGATTCAAATTCAGCCACGACAGTCATCCCATGATGCTTTGTTGCTCATTAATGCTTTTCATGCTGCAAATCACTGCACTGTGTTCCATTCTCTGCCTTTTTCAGACATTTTTATGCATAGCAATGAGTGCCCTGCTGACATGTTACCCTGCAGGCCATCTGCTGTCAATGTGGAGAGGAGTGGGGCAGAGAATGCAGCTTGACATGAGTTTAATCTACAGCGTCAGAGCCTTCTGGTTTGTGCTGTCCTCTGACTGGTCCTGTTTTTCTG